AACTCTCAGTAATGCCATAGTGATCGTTTGATATATGGACCTGCAGCGGAGTTTAGGCCCAGACACGGCTAGTGACGTCAGACTGGACGACCGGATACTCGTAGGGCCCAAAGTGCCTGTCCCCACGAGTCTGAGGACATTTTTGGGACTCAAAATGAGGTTGTAGTGTCAGGGTTACAATTAGGTTATGGTTATGGTTAGACGTTCATTTTTGATGGTTAGGGTAAGCGGCTAGGGAAAGCATTATGCCAATTAGATGTCCCCACAGAGATATGAAAACCAGCTGTGTGTGTGTGTGTGTGTGTGTCGAGCACACGTCTGGTGGGTCTTGTGGAATTTCTGATTGCAGCGTTTTGTTTGTGTGTCCTTCTGCTGATGTGGATGTAAATAAATGATTCAAATGTGTGGGCTTGTTTGTTTGCATGCGTGTGATTGTGAGCATGTCTGTCCGTGTCTCCCGGCCAACCATAGCAGTCTCTGTTAGTCTTATCAGTGCCATTATCAACAGGCCTGAAATCGCTCTTTTCCTTTAGCCGTAATGATTCTTTAAGGAGCCTGCTCCTTTCATTTCTTCCACACTGAAGAAGCAGCCGCTCAAACGTGACTAAATGTTGAACGCACACAAGAAAGCCCAACGACTGTGGGAGAATGGCAGAGGGAGAGATAAGCCCTCAGCGTTCAAGATCTGATAGCCTTTTGCCTCAAGTGTGTAAAGGCACAGCTCACACAGCCAGTATCCAGGAGAGGCTGTGGATGCTGCACTTCCTGTTATTGTTTCTATATCGCGCCCATTGTACTGTACAATGTGTTTGGAGTTCTGCAGCTACAGTATTTTAGTCTGCTTTAGGAAACTTGTCTAACAGTGGAACAATAATCCTCAGTCTCATGAATGCAAACAGAGCCGCTGGCAGAGTCAGTCAAGTGGGCTCTAATCTGCATCAACAGCTGCCATTCATGAGCCGTTCTCCTTCCTCAGCAGTGGAAGAGTCTTTGTAGCGTTGTTTTAAACTGGAGCAAAACTAAATCGGTCCATTTTTCAACCAGCCAATCAGAGGCGGCCCCCGCCCACCACCACGGAGCAACGATACTTAAATGCTGATATGAATGAGATGGATCGTTACATCTAGCGCCCCCATGAAAGCAGACACTAAAACAGCCAGTGAAACATGACAGTCCTAATTATGTTTAATAAATACAGGATGAGTTCACTCAGAACATGTAACCATAAAAAGTATCTGGATGAAGGACAGGATTGGTTATGCCAGAGTTCACAGAGTTTGCACATTTTTAGCAGTTTTCTGGCCTCTCGGCTGATATTTGCTCCTTAGTGGCTCGATTTATTTTATCTTTTACTGCAGAAGTAAAAATGCACCATTAAAAGGCTTTCTGCAGGTCAAACTTAGCCAGGCTCCAAAGTGGCTGACTCTCGCTAAATTGTCACCGGGGGATATTTTCCACCCGTGCCTGCTCCAGCGCCCCCACACGCCCAGCGGTGCAGCCATCCTGTCCAGCCATGTTCTGTCCGCTCTTATCCAGAATCAATAGAACAGAAATAGCACAACTTCCTACAATTCCAGCACCTCAAATGACGTCAACACTCGCTGATGTACAAAATTGCTCCTCTGTGATTCTTGTTATATTTGGGCTGGAGACAAACTGGCGTTTGAGCCTTTATAGGTCTGCAGAGACCGACAGACTGGACCAGACCTGGAACAGAGGAGGCACAGAGTTTCAGACTCAGCTCGTTCTTACTGTGCATCACGTGTGAACACGAAGGATGACCACACGGTTAACGTTGTGTGTTCATGTCAAGCTCATCGATGTTATAGCCAAACATGAACTCACATGACGCTGCAGGTTTCCCTGCTCGGACAGATATATGGGTACACAGGTGACTGTGCAGATGATATAAGATCCCCAGACCTCGAGTGTAGGCTGTTCGCACATAGCTGCACGAGCTCACGCTCCCCACGCCCCCCACGCCCGCCGGGGCTTCCCATGAGCCCGTCACACACGGCGTTCACCCATACTGGTTGACTTTCACTCCCTTCATAATCACAGCTCTTCAGCAGTCTCACTGCATCACACAGTAAATCGACTGACTCATGGCCTCAGTTACACAAACTCTAAAACCGCATGCAGCCTCATGGCGAGCGCACCCGAGCGCACACCAGGGACACCCAATTAAAAAATTACTGCTCAGACTTGCAGGAAAGTTTTTGGACTTTAAATTATTGTTATGGTCAGTGTGACAACACTGCCCCATCCATCATCATCAACCTGGCGTCATGGAGGACAACCGCTGCTGCTCAGTATCAAAAGAGGTAGTTTTAGTTTTAGTAGTTAGGATGCATCTTAGGCGCATCCCTTTGGAAGTTTTCCGGACACGCCCAACTGGGAGGAGACCCTGGGGTAGATCCAGAACCCTGTGGAGCGATTATTTATTCGTCTGGCGTGGGAACGCCTCAGGCTCCCCCCAGGAGGTGCTGGAACGTGTTGCTGGGGTCAACAACATGAGATGTTTATCCTGCTGCCATCGCCACTCGACAGCTCATGGATGCATGGACTCACACAAATACACACACACACACACACACACACACACACACACATACACACATATATATATAAAGTCATTTTGCTTTAAGGGTTTACAAAGGAAGTAAATTAAAAATTAATGTAAACTCTAATACCTGAACTTCAACCTTCGTCCCAGCTTCACTCTTCATGTCTCGTACTAATAAGATTCCCTGATACTCTATTACTTTTACTTTCAATCTGAAGCAGCTACAAGGCACCAAAACACTTGTAAGCATTTCTCTTGTGATTTCCTTAAAGTGCGTCGGTCCCCCGACTCCTTTAACAAGGAAAACACTTACCCTCCACCCCCAACAGCCTGTGTGTACACAGCTGGGGAGTCCATTTTCTCACCCCGGCCCACCCATCCTCTTCTCCTCCATCGCCCCTCTTTCTCCTGCTCTGATTTCCTACCGTGTCCCACTTCTCATCAGGAAACATGACGAGTCCATAAGGAAACTTTCCTTTCTTAGTCCTGGGGGGTTGTTTTGGTGTGGGGGGGTCTTTATGACCAGATGTTGTGCTGACAAACTCAGCACTGACGGTGTTGTAGTCTCTAAGAAAACAGGAACCAAGACTTTCAACACGGTCGGAAAAGTGTTTAAAGAATCTGATTAAGATGACGGGTCGTCCAAAAGAAGCCACACACACACACGTTTGTATTTATATCCTTGTGGGGACATCTCATTGACATAATGCTTTCCCTAGCCGCTTACCCCAACCATCAAAAATGAATGCCTAACCCTGACCCCTGCCCTAAACATAACCTAATTGTAACCCTGACACCAAAACCACATTTTGAGTCTCAAAAATGCCTTCAAACTTGTGGGGACCCAGGATTTTGGTCCCCACGAGGGCTGTTTGTCCCCACAAGTATAGTAAACTACCAATTTTTGGTCCCCATGAAGATGTTAATACCCGTACACACACACACACAAGAAGGATGAAGTGATTACAGAAGTTATCCTGGCCAACAGCAGGTGGGAGGAAGAAAGACAAAAAGGGGATGATGAAGGTCAACAAAAGGTAACGTGACAGAAAGTATCTGTAACGACACGACTGGAAATTAAGAAATCGACCACGGCGATCTTTCTGTGGACCTTGGGACTTACTTCCCTGCCATCACTCCCCACAGCATACATACCACAGGACAAACACCCACAGTCTGTCTGAGCTATGAAGTCACCTCAGACGAGCCGGAGGTCACCAGCTCTGCTGATAGCAACACTCAGTCACAACATCAAAGCTTTCCTGGTTTGAGATCTTTCCTAACATTCGTGCATGTGCGTGGGTATGAAGGGCATTGACGAAACACAGATCACTCCTCCAATCCAAGAGGTCCGCTCGAATTATAATACGCCAAATACACACAAACCTCTTATTTTCAGTTTTTAGCCATTTTACTCTGTCACAGTGTTAAAGTAGCAGCTGAGAATCGACGCAGGTGTACAAACAATACCTTAGTTTACCCGTATCATCTCACCAGCGTCTTTGGGCGTGAAACAAAAAGCAGGCACACAGATTATCATATCATACAACACGTTCAACCACAGCAAGCATGACGACAGGAGGTACTGTCTTTGTTCCTCGTGGTTTTCCCTCCAAAGTCCGATCAGGGATTCATATTTGAATTCCTTAAAGGAAGAGAATCAGTTCACACAGTATAAACACAGCAGTAAGGATGAGCGCTCACCTCTCTCGCACTGCGGGCCAGTGAAACCGTAGACGCAGGCACATCTGTTGGGCCCGATGCAGCGCCCACCGTTCTGGCAGCCGTTCTCACACACAGCTGCCCGAGACAGGAAAAATGGATCCAGTGAGAAATACAGACTCGCTTTAATTCTTTGTTTCTTATAGAAATGTCACGACCACATATTGTGTTTGTAATGAATGCTTCTGCTTGTACGCTCAGCAGCAACAGGCCTGTTGGCGTGAACGTCAAACGTCCTCGCTTCTGTTCTTATGAGGTTCGAGTGTAAAACCAAAACCAAAGTTCTGCAGACTTGAAGAATATCAAACATTCTTCTAAACACGCAAGACACTAATGCAAGTTACACATATGTGCATGCACAGCGCCCCGCCCCGCACCCAGGCGCGCCGACTCAGCAGCTTTGCACTCACGTTGTCCACAGTGGTTGCCGGTGTATCCTTTCGTGCATGAGCAGGAGTCCTCGGTGCAGCTGCCTCCGTTCATACACCTGACGTTACAGGACTGAACTGTAAGAGAGAGGAAAGGCCCGTCAGCAGCTCCGTCTCAACATCTGCATTTTAATTAAATATGGATTTTACACGTGTTGGTAGTTTACACATGTGTGGAGGGTTCAGATTAACATGTTCAAAAACACCCCAAGCTACAAATCCGGAGCTAATCATACGGGCTGGGGTTAGGCGATATGTCAGGCCAGCTGAAGGCTACAGCGAGTCAGGAATTTACTGAAAAGAAAACTGGGGGAAGGGAGCAAAGAGAAGAGCGCACAGGAAGCAAAGAAGAAGAACAAAAGCCAACAGGGTGTGAAGAAGAGTGCGAAAAAAGAGCCATAAGTGGCGTCTCTGTAAAAAGCTTCCAGGCTGTCAGACTGCTTTCTTGAGAGGCTCAATGTGACGATCTCACTTCCTTAAGAGCAGCTAATTGGCGTTCCTGGCAGCTTCTGCCTGAACGTAGCAAAGCAGAGACACCGACGTGCAGAGAGCCTGACCGTCTTCATTGGGCCTCAAAAGTTGATTTTATTGTCCTCTAGTCCTCCTTCCCTATAAACTCTGTGCCTTTCATGCTCTTCTGTTTTTATCTAAACCTTAAGTTCAACATTAATTTCCTCTCTCTTCCCTCCATCTGTCTGTGCGCGTCTGTCTCTCTTTAACATTTCTGGCATGCAGCGCTCTGCAGCAGAGGGGAAATGACTGAGCTTCCCCAGAGCTGACTTTGTCTAATGAGACTTTCTGAGTTTGCACACTTGCCAACAGGAGGTATTTCAGCCACTATAATCCACCCACTTACTCTGACTGTACCCAAACACACTAACTATGCCTTGTGTGAATCATAATGAAGGAATACGCTGTGAGGTGGCTTTTCATTTTGAGATTTCTGCCTTACTGGAAACTCGCGCAGCAACAAGTTTAGTGTACATGAGTCAAAGCACAACGGCACGAATCCTTGGATCTGGTGCAGTTTTGGAAAAAGGCGAGGTATTTTTCACAGGAATGGTTTACAAAGCTCTCATTTGTTCCATAGATTGAATGCATCTAGAAGTCCCAGTTAGCTTTCTCACGTGCAGCTCCTGGCAGGCTCCGTGCACAGACCTGGCAGAAGCTCGTTGTGTCTGGACGGCTCCTCGTAGCAACACACGGTGATAAATTAAAGCAAATAGTTTGGACTCTGGAGGCGTTTACAGGTCAGTGTACTAGTGGGCTGATTCTGTCCATCAACGTTCTTCTTGTTCATCCTTTAGGGAGTCGGGTACGGCTTTGCTCCCAGCTTTCAACCTCGCCTTCCTTCAAGATGGAAGATTACAGCAACTGTCTGCAAGGCCAGCAATACAAGCAGTCATGTGAATCATAAATAATGACTGCAGTCAGTGATTACAATTTTCCCCACCATGAAACAAACCGTGAAGAAAACCCCCTGAACTCAGGCTCCTCACAAAAACATGTTTTTAAATAGGTCCAGGAAGACTTTGGCTAACAGCAGTGTGAGGCTCTCTGTCTGCTCATCATCCTCAGGAGGATAACAGAGAGACACTGGAGGTACGCTTTCATGTCACGAGCTTTCTCTGTTACAGGAGCTCATCTGAAGGAGCAGGAGGAGAGGAACGACCACATTTGGACACAGAAGATGATCTCATTGGATAGCTTCTCCTCATGACACTCCATCTCCTGCAGGTGGAAACAGATGGTCTGCTCCAATGACCCGTGCATGGGAAGCTGCACGTGCAGAGCAACATGATTGGGAGGCTGTGTGTGTGTGTGTGTGTCATCCGAAGAAGCAGGGGTGCAGGGTTGTGGCAGCACAATGCGCTTCTGTGTTCTGGTTGTATCGTCGGTAAGCTGCTCACATCTGGGTGTTTTTTACGAGAATCTGAGAAACACAGGAAGTCGAGGCTCGCGTGTGAGTGTGTGTTGGAGCCGAGCGGGAGTGTGATGGAAAACTGAGGTGCTTTATAGCTATGTTGTGTCCTGATTTACAAACACCCCAGAGACCTGTGACAAGTCCCCGTGATGCAGTGAAAACAAAGGTTGCACAAGATGCTCTCAAAGCAGCTCCGACCACAAAGGAGTCTTTGAGCTCCAGGAAATAACTCTCCACAACTGTTTAGTTCTGTACCTCGAGTCATCAATCAGTTGTTGGGTTAATGGGAACAACTCTTTTGTTTTATTTGCACTTTTAAACTTTACACCAAGCAGCACAGAGACTCACTTCTGTGCAAGATGAAACTGCAGAGGAGCGGCTGGTTTCAAAGCCCGCACTCTTTCCTTTCATGGATGATGTTGGTTTCAAGCCTGAATGATCGTGCTGGTTCTTTAGCACAGACGTGACTGACCAGGGACAAGCTGTATCGTAAATCCCTGTCTTTGGATGCTTTTTCTGTTTTTACTGCTGAGTCAACCTCAGTTTCCCATGAAACACACTCAGACGTATCCTCCATGACAGAATAACTACAGGATCATTTACTCAATAAGTCTCTAAATCTGCCTGTGTGGGTTCCAGCTTTGCTTCTTATTAAAGACAGCACACACTGCAACACCAGTGCCACAATCTGGAGCTGTTACAGTTCTTCTCAGTTGCTTTGGCACGAAACTCCTGAGACGCAGTTGAGCTGTTTGAAATCCTTCGAATCAGTAACAATCAGTAACAACTCTTGTTGTTACTTTGTATCAATATTTTAAGTCCTTTTACTGTGTAATTTGTATCTGTGTGCAGCACTTTGGCCAATGCTACTGTTGTAATGAAATGTGCTATATAAATAAAATAAACATAAGCGTGTAAACTTTTTATTGTTCCTGTTACTAGTTTAGGGGCAGCGTGGACACGTGGTGGTTAGCGCTCGTTGCAACCACCTTTGGGAGGATCTTTCTGTGGGACGTTTCCATCTTCTCCCCTCGTGCTTTCCGGGTTCCCCCCAAAGTCCAAGGACATGCAGTTAGTGGGGTTTGGTTGACTCATTGTCTGTCTCTCTGTGTTACCCCTGAAACAGACAGGTGTACCCCACCTGTTGCCCTGGGGCAGCTGGTATAGGCTGCTCGTTCTCTAAGAAAACCCTGCACTCTTGACATCAGCATTGAAAAGTGAGTCACTTTTGCTAATATATAGTCGTCATTTATCCTCATAAAAATCATCAAAAAAGTAATTATGCAGGAAATCCTGTAAAAGCTTCGATCACTCAGAGAAAATATCTAAATATTTGGGTTACCTACGTTTGCACAGTGTCAGAGGAATTTGTCATTTTA